CTCATGTAGCATTTACCATATGTTTGGTTTGTTGGCAATTTAATCAGTCTGAATAATCTTGTTTTGTGACAAACCTCCTAAATCACAAAGGAATGATGCAGTTTGTATGGGTGGAATGTGCTCTACAGGGATAGTTCAAGTTGAAGAATAAAAATGAGAATTAGGCAATACAGAATTCATTGAAAGCCAGTTTTCCAGCTGCTCTAATTTCCCATAATTTAATTTGTGTGCAGTCAAAAGCAACTTGGAGGTTTCCAGCAAGATGATACAACTATGGGTGAGGCTAGACAGAGAGTCTAAAATGTGCTTAATGCATTGCAGTTCCATGCTGTAAAAGCATCTCCTAGGGCCAAATACAGACAGCATAATATCCTAGTGAATTGGACCATTAAAGAAAACTGTGAAGGTGCAAAGCTGTAGCATTGCCTTGAAATTAAAGCATTGTCACCTTTGAATTATGGAAACAATTTAACAAACATTTAGGAAATCCTCTTTTTAAGGCTACAATAAACTCTTCCAGGTTATGCAGTAGAGGATGTGGCTGCACTCTCCTATTTGGTTTTGAATGACTTTCAGCTTGTGTGTAGTTTGAAATTGTACCAAGCTGAGAAAGCAACAAAATAATAAAGCGGAATAATGGAAGATAAAAATAAACAGTAATCTATGCCTGGAGCGCAGCTTTTTAATTCTCAGTGCAGATTCACAAGTGCAAGAAGAGCTTGTTAAGTTGAGTAAACAGGAAAAAAACATGGTATGGACAGATGTAAAAATACAATGATAACTTCTGCACTGAAATAAGCGAAACAAGAAATTTATCTGTCTAGTTTAACAGTTTTCAGCTTGGTTTGCATCTGTGATTACAGTGTCACTGCCTAAAATATAATGTAAACAAAACAGAGCAGAAATTAAAAACAAAACAAACAAAAAAATCCTTGAATTATGAAATAGGAACAGTATTTGAAGCCTCACTTTCAAAAACTGTAAGTGTTATTGGTGCAGAGATGTGCCTCTGTAAAGACATGCAAAACATGAAGCAAAGTTGCAGACAGCTGTTGCACTGCTTTCTAGTTATAGTGATCTGTGTGCATGTCCAGATTGCAGCTCCATGTCATACATAGGTCCTTAACCATGCCTGAAGCGCCAGCTCACAGACTGTTCTCAGTAGGCTTCAGAGTACACAGGGATTGAGCAGTAAGCGTGTAATTCCTTGCATTTATTCTGAGAGCAACCCTAGCAGAACTTGTGCAAGTGAATTTGAGAAAACAGAATGATCATTTTTCTAAATTATGCCAGGTTTGAGTTGGAGAAAATGGTATTTGAATAAACCCTAAGACTTGATCTGAAAGGTGATGGTCTTCAGAAGAAATTCTGGGATTATTTTTGAGTGTTTTTCTGATCTATGGAAGCAGGTGTGATGGTCTCGTTGCTGTCTTGGAATGGTTCAAGGGTTTCCTGCCCTCCAGCTCTTAGTTACTTCTCCCTCAGTCAGTGGAGGTTCAGGTGGGAGCAGTGTTGGCTCTCCCACTCTATCCAAAGCAAACTAAATTTAAAGTCATTTTCAGGCTCATTTACTGCATGTAAACAGAAGGGCATCCTTTAGAAAGAAGGAACTTTCTCCAACTTTTTTATTGTGATGTGAATGTAATCATTTATTCTTCCAGCAGTTTGTATGTGACTTCGTGTGCCTTACCTAACCCCTCTACACCTCATGTTCCTCTTTCTAAAAGAGAAGTACTTATTCTTTCCCTAGGAAATGGGAAGAAGCATAACTGAGATGGCTGAAAACCTCTCTCTTTCTCCTCTTACCCTGTTACCACCAGCTCTTTTGTTGTGCATCTGTGTTGTGTTGAGCCGCCCGCCCATTTGATCTGAGGTTTGCTTGCTAGTGGCTGTTACTTTCCTTTCACTAGATCAGTGAGACAAACATAGATCTTTTTTGAGAAGCTGAACTGATGGTTACTTTTACTTCAAAGATGAAGCAAAGAGGGAAACTTTGAAGTGACTAGCAAAGCACAGATCTAATCTGTGGAAGTTTTAAGTGTAACAGATCAGGCATGTGTAGATTAGGAAATCTCTGAAATGTAACTCCAGGATTCTTTTCATCTGCTATAACTTTTTTAACTCCATTCTGAAGTACTTGCTAAATCACAATTAATTTGAGCACAGAAAGAAACTTAATTTGTTTTTTCCTTTTCCCTGTATAAACTGGAGGATGGAAAACAGGTTAGCTTATTTCTAAAAGATCTAAATGCAATTCTTGAATGTCAAAGTTTAGATCTCAGAGGGACAGCTGAGTGCAGCTGTAATGATAACAAGACTGTGAAAATTAATGAAAAATCATAGAGGAAAATATGAGTAAGACCTGTCACATTGCCTGTTCAACACACTTGTTAATGAGTGCTTGCTGCTAATATATCTGCTGATGTCTTATCCAACCTCATTTCAAACATGTCAATTAATTAAATTTCCAATGGTTTTTGAGAAGACAGTTTTATGCTATGCTATTTTATTAAGTTTTTCCTAGTAACCCTTTTTTGCTTCTAAATTACTAGATGTTGATGCTTTTGACTTTTCACGTACCCACACAACACTTTATCGGTGCACAACCTGGAAAGTACATTAGTGTTAACCACTGAAACTCTAGCCTTAGGCTGCTGTTCTTCCTGAGCAGCACTGTAGTCACTATTGTAAGCATTGATTTGCATTGCATTTTCTTAAAATTATGTTAAGAACTCTCAGCAGGGAAGTGCTTCTGACTGTCCACCTGGAATTTAGCAAACAGTTTATTCCATCATCTCCTGGTTTTATGTCTCACATTATCAACAATTTAGTGTTTGTCTTTTTGGTAGATATTTCAGTTAAGGCAGAGGTTAAACTTCTACCAGATTCAGTGAGAGGAAAGTTAACTCATCCTCAACTGCTTCTGAAAAATCTACTCTGTTCTTGTCAATATTGCCTCGAGAGAACAAAAGAATAGAGAGAGACTGGCTGATAAGAATCACTACTTCAAGATGTACAAGATGTCTGTTACAAAGTCATTGAATTATATTGTGTTGAAAGCAATATATGTGCAGGATTGTAGAGGGTAAAGTGTTGGCTGTGATTACAACCACTGGGACAGGCATTACAAGCAACAAATTGTAGTATTTCTTATGACTTTAATCTAACTTTTGTGTATCACACATTGCAACAATGTTTCTTTGAGCTCAAATTCAAAGGATCCACAAGCAGCATCGTGAAGTCAATAAGAACCACAGAATTGCAGATCTATGAGCAAACTTTCTGTCTACCATGACAGAAATTATGAGAAGGTTGTGAGTGAATGTGTGGTTTACTCTGTGTAAACTGTTCTTACAGTTAATGTCAGTTAATTTCTCTCTAACTTGCACCATGTCTTGGAACAAACCTCTTTAAATAGTCTCCAGATGGTTGTTGTTACTTGCCTGTCATCTGAATGCCTCCATAATGACAATTCATTAAATCATCTCAGTGTCTTTGCACAGATAGTCCATTTAGGATTTTTATACACCTATTAGCATTCTGTTGAACTAATCTGTTGGATATTTGTAGCTCAACGAAAAATACTTCGACTGCAATGCCTTGCAGTGGGCACAGAGCTACTGGGCTCATTATGCCAGTGTATTGGGGAGTAACTGGATAGCTCATGCTCTGCAAGAACTCAGGCCAGGTAATCTGGTAAAACCATCTGAATCTTTAAATGCACAGTTTTTAAGATCAGCTTAGAAAAGATCCTATTCAGTGTTATCTAGGATTTCAAAGATGAAGCTTAAATAACAAAATAGAAATCTCTTGCCTCAATCTCGCCTCTTCCTCTGTAACTGTCTGTATGTTTCTGCAAGTGAGATTGAAATCTCCCTCTCATCAGGTGATAAGAAATTACTGCCTTAAATTTTTGCCCTCTTGATATCTTGTATCCTCCCTAGGCAAGCAGGGTCTTTGATAAAGAGGGAATTTACTGGATGTGACTATTAGTAATAGTGTGGGGCACATGCAGGGCTCAGTCCTGTGAATCCTTGTTGAAGAGTTTGCCTTTAACTCCAGGCCAGCTCAAAAACCAGATGTTCTAGTTGTCCTTACTACCTTGCTTATTGCTATCCCAGAACCAGCTGAGGAAAAACCTGCCTGCTAAGCTGATTGCTCCTAAGTGTGATGTTCTCATTATCATGCCAACCCCAATGCTGGTCGTGAGCTAGGTTGTAAGGGTGCAGGTTGTGCTTAAGCCTACATTCTACTTTCTCTCACTTACAAAATCCCTTGCTCTGCCAGTAAATGTAATGAAGGAAATGAGAATGGGCTCACCAGCATGGAAAAGCATCAATATTTAGTTAACTACAGATGCCGAGTCATATGGTGTTCTGTACCATCATCCAAGTAGGACATCACTCAACTTATATGTAGAAAAATCAGAACTGAGTAAAATGAGTGATCTGACTTCCAGCTGGGCGGTAAGAACATACTCAGTTTTAGCTTTCTGGCAAGAAACTGCTTTCTGATTGTGGTGAGTTTGTGCAAGATCATCAGCTGCAGTTCTCTACTTCCATTTATTGTTACGACAGCATGGACTGTTCTCTCAGGTACAGATATGTTTGCAAAAGATGACTGTTACCCCCATGAGCCATACTATTATGTCTTTTCTCTCAGGGATAAAGGTAGCTGAAAGGTATCTAATTTTATTCAGATACCTGGCAATAGAAGATGCTGAAGATCTCCTGTGGTTCCCGGGAAGCTTGTAGGTTCTCTCTTGCTCAGCAGGCACCGTAGTGTTTGAGTTGGTTCAGGGAGAAACATCTCTGTGGGTCACGTTGACCTTTAATGAAGACCTATTGGTCTTCATTACAGAGTAACCATTTTGGAGCCCAGGGTCCTGCTGATACTCTCTTCAATGCAGTAAAACATTGGATTTCAATTGGGTTTTTGTTCCCGGCTTGTTGAAAGGGTTTGGCTTTTAACTTCCCATTCAATCATTTTTCATTTAACAGAAGATAAGATCTGGACTGCAGTGCAGCACAACAGCACAGGGCTAACCAGAGTCCAAGGAGCTGACCGGGAGAAGCCGTACACCATGTCCTTCAGCTACAACAGCAGCGCGGAGCAGCTGGAAGCCGTGATAAGCAGTGCAGAGAACTGCGAGCAGGAGGCAGCCTACCACTGCAAAAAGTCACGTCTCCTGAATACCCCGAGTAAGTGCCACGATCCCAAATCTTTCCTTCTTAACTCTTGTTGATTGCACAGCAGGTACAGGCCACACTGCAAGTGAAGAGAAGAAAAAAAACAACCAACCAAACACAAAATTAATAGTAGTAATATAGAATGGAGTGAAAAACCTTTTAATTTCTTGGATACTTCTGTGCAGTTCTTGTCCTCTGGTGCAAGAGTGTATGAGCTCTGCAGGGGAGTTTCCAGTCCCTAAATTCATGTGTGCACAGACCCTGAAAACTTCTACAATGGAAAGTGCTGCCTAGAAACCACAAAAACTTTATTTACCTGTTGGCAAAGAGATGTGCTTATTAATTTACTGTTTCTATCTTTATATTAAATATAAAAAGTACCCAAATGCTTCCAGACTATTAATGTTATGAAGGGGAGGGGTGTACCCTCTTCCGAGAACCACAGCCCTGAAAATGATGTTTAAGTACAGTTTGGTAGTACAGTTTCTGGACCAAAGCTAGCTTTGCCCTTGCGATAGAAGGAATACATAATTTGCCCTGACTTAATGCAGCAGAAAAAAGGAAGCAGAAGATCTGATCTATTTGTGTTTCTCTGCAGTACCAAATTTCCAGTGGCTACTCTGAATGTCTGCCTTCTACTCAACTCTGATGTCAGAATTTTACATTTACTTATCCAGAGAGATGAATGACATTAAGGGCAGGCTTCCGACTGTCTTCAAAGTCTCCTCTGGTTACTTGTAATGTCTGTATGGTCCTGGTGATTCTTTGATTATTAGCAACTCTTACATTTGTTAGTAGTGTAGAAGACATCCCACGGAAAGCCTGAAGGGGACCTTGCAATGGGATTTCCTATTGTGTTAAAAACACATTGCCTAATGAGATGTATCAAAAACCCTCCTGGTTTCAAAAAAGTTACTATAACACTGAATGTTTATGGATCCAGTAATCAGATGCCTTACAGTCAGTTTACTTTTAAAAGCTGTGAGTTATGTCTTTTGTTATTATCAGTTTTACCAGCCAAGAACTGCTTGTATAGCTAATTTTTTTTTAAAGAATGAAATGTTAATATCAGCACTCAGGGTAGAGCACAAAGGGAAAACAAAATGCAGGCATACCTGCTCATAAAGAGGGGGAATTGATGTCTTACACATGCTTTCAGTGTTGCTGACTTCCGTATCCCACACCACAACTGACATGTTATAAAGATAAAATTCCACAGGAATTATTTCAGAAATGTTTTTTTAAGGATGACCACCACAGTATTAGAGCAGGTCTGCATGTGTTTTGATTTTTGCACATTCTGTGAGGTATTTGGTCATGTGTATGCAGGAACATACACTCTGAGTGTGTTTTGAGACACCCCTTGAATGTGGGACCTCTCTAAAGCTAGGGACACTTCTTAAGAATCCAAACCTTAGTAAAAAAAATAATTATAATCTTGTGTAAATTGACAGTATGCAAACTGTCCATCTTCAGGGCTAAAGTTATCAAACAATAGGCAGACTGGCTAAGATGGTTCCTGACAGGCAGCTTGTTCTCCACTTGTCAAGGACCAAATTTGTGACTCAGATCCTTCAAAGGAGAGGACGTGGGGATGGTGTCCAGCATTCTGACTTGCGCCTTTGCAGTTGGTATAGTGCCACTGTGGTCCTGACAGTTGGCCACACAAGAGTTACACAACTCATTACTATTTACAACAACTTCATCTGAGAGATAATAATAATAATAAATAACAATCCAGTGCTGCACATGTGGCAGACACTGCCATTTTTTTCCTCTTTTTTTCTTCCTTTTGTATACGTTATAATTACACTTACAATTTTTCGAATTTTCATCCTGAACTTTCTCAGTATTCTAATGTTTTAAGTTTGGCAAGTTGTGGAACGTGCTCAAAAATAAATTGTTTCAGTCCTTGAAATCACAAAATAAGGGTAATTTGTTCTTAGCTGAGTATTAAGTATTTTTAAATGTTAGAAAGGCATTGCTTTCCTCAAAGTCTTAAAAGCTCTATTAATTGATGTTAATTTTAAGGTGAACTGCTAGTATATTATAGAAGAGCCTAGAGACCCAGGTGTCTTGAAGAACTCTAAGACTTAAAGAATTTCCGCTCCTAAAGTTGAATATGAGCTACAAGTGTGAATAACTTTAAGGTATTTTGCTGGACTCGCTGCAGAAGGTTCTCATCTGTGTTGTTTATATCCAGAAATGACTGGAGGGAGTTTGATTTGGGGTCAGAGCAACAGAACAAAGATCAAAACTCTTGGGTTTTGTTTCTTGATTTGGCCTAGGCTTTTGGATGCCTGAAGCACTACATTCTCTCTGTGTTGCCATAATGTGTAAATGCAGTTAATAAACCACACTTCAGATCTTCCTTCAGAAGCTGGTATACGATGCACACGTATTGATGACAATATTGCTTTCATAGGCCAGAAAGAAACGTTACCTGACTTAGTCCGGTTTGCTCAATATCACCTCTCACTAATACCTCTGGACTGAGCCCAGTGGTGAATGCTTGATGGAAAGGCATATCCCAGAGGTACATCTGATCTTGACAGAAAGCTATAAAATTTCCCCTTCCTTCAAGAAATCTAATCCATTTCTAAGCTTCCTTTCATTTGGTTGTTTGTTTTTTGTTTTTTTTTTTTTTTTAATCAGGGAGATGGAACACATGATTAGGATATTTCAACTAATAGCACCAACACACCAAATCTTTGTCTTCCGGACCTAAACACTATCGCGTTTCACAGAGAAGCAATAAAAAGAATTCTCTTTCCTCTTGCATTGGTAGTGTTACTCTCCAAAAAAGCTGTATGCTGTTACACAGTAATTTTGGCTTTCACAGCTTTGACATGGGGGAAAGGGACAAGCAAGGCACGCAGGACTGCCTCAGAGAGAAACCCAGGAAGGCTTCTGGATTACATAAAGTTGTTCCAGTTTATATCAAGGAATTTGTCTTTCTTCTCTTTATATTCTCTCTTGCCCTGAAGACACAGGCACATCCCCAGCGGGTGTGATTGAGCGTAGTATCCCCATTGAGTTACTTGGATTTACATCTGCAGTGTGTCAGACATGCAATCTGGCAGTTGGCAAAGGAGTTTACTCATCTCCACCTCCTGCTGTCTGGAACAGCCTTATCAGTTCTCACTGTCATAGTATGGTTTAGCTGCAAGCATGTCTTTGAAAGCAAAAATTAAATTGCCCTGAACTGCATTTTTGTACATCTCTGCCATCAGACAGATTTTAAGAAGGTTTGTGAACATCAGAGTAGATGTCTGTTCATCAAAGAAAGAGCTGGCTTTCTTATGGTGCTGGCAAATGAAACTTATATGACCGGTTATTGCAAGTTTCTCATGACTTTTCCATATCTGTTGGAGAGACACACAACCAGAGCAAATCTGACAGTTGGCATTAATTAGGAAAGTCATCCACACTCTTAGGAAAAGATTGCAGACTTTACCACCACCTTATCCTTAGATGTAGAGACCAAGTCAAGCTAAGAGGAGAGGAGGGGGGTGGGCAGGAAGCTTGGGCTACCTCTAAATGTGCTGTCTGTGTTCTGAGACTATGAAAAGAAATGTAGCCCCCTAGGTCTTTGATTTCCTTTCTTTATGGAGCATTTCAGGCAATACCTAGGAAAAGAGTATGTGTGCAAGGGTAGATGCTTGTGTGCCCATGCACGTTTATTAAACTGTTAACATACAAGATGTTTGAAGGTATGAAAACACTTTATTAACTGAGTAAACCCTTGGATCTGACTGAATTTGCTCAGTTTTCTGGAAGCAGTAGATGTATTCAAATGCTTAACATTTGTGAATCTGCCTCACATCCACCTTATCAAGGACTTAGCACTGACGGCTGTATCAGTGGCAGGATAGCTTGCTTTACAATAGTTGGCTGACAGTCTGTCAAGTTCATAGTACATTTATGTAGGCAGGGACTGAGAAAAGATCAGTCCTAGAGCAAAATCAAATAAATAGGAATGTTTGTAGGTGGTGGGGTTTTCCTGCCTTCTTCTTTATTTTTCTCTTTCTAGTAGAATAACAACCTCAGGCTTAGATTTCAAGCATCCCCCCTAAGCTACTCACCTCTTTCCTGATCTTCCTGCCTATCCCTCTTATGGTCTGTCAAGTCCCACTGTTACATGACTTGTGACCAGGTTTCCATCTCCCCTTCTCCCCTTTCCCTCCCAGCTAGTCCCATATCTCAGTGTCAGGCTGCACCATGTGCCATCACGAGCTCTGTGACCCCTTATGTCAGGCATCTGTTAGCCCTCACTGGTGAACCACTGCATTTGCATTTTGTAACTCCCTATTAGAGGGAAAGATGTAGTGCTACCTCACAGCAGGGAACATGTCCTAATTTCTGAATTTGGACTTAAGATTTAATTCTGCTGCTCAGACAGTTCAATGTCTTTCAAGCTCTAGCCCTGTATGTTGCTAGAACTCTGTCTGTGCACACTCCCTCCTTGGTCCCATATGAGACCAGTGATGTCAAAGCTGCTAAGAAATGTCCTTCAGGGTCCTGCCTCCAATAGAGGCTGCTGGAGAGATGCAGCTTAAGGTGAGAACACAAGTCTGGTGTCTTCAGCACATCCCTCAATATGTCCCCATCACCCACCGTTGCTCAATTAAGGGCATTAGAGTTTATGCTATTGCCAATCCCTTTTAGTATCTACTATGGATCTGTTTTTCATAAACTTATCTAATCACATTTTGAACTTTATTATGCTGCCTGTCTCTGTAACCACCTAAGAAAGCAAGTTCCAAGAGTTCCTCACTTGCTGTTTTACAGAACTACATTTGTGGGGTTTTTAATGTGGTTTTGACTGCTATTTTGCTCAGTGCAGTGAGTTCTTGTATTGCAGTATGCAGTGAAACAGAGTTTTGTGCTCATCCAGTGTTTTTACAGTGCTCTTACTCTTCTTGGACTTTCACTAGCTCTAGTATTTTTTTTCAACTGAAGTGCCCACAGTTTTTGAGATGTGGTTTGCACCAAGGTTTCATATAATAGGG